CGAAACCCGCCCTGCCGGCGCCCGGTCGTGGCTCCGTCCCTACGGCTCTGAACCTGCTCTGCCACATTTTGCCCTGCTAGGGATCACAGGGCCCAGCCCCCTTCCCCAGCCCCCACCTGGGGCTCTAACCATTTGCATTCCAGCCTGAGCACTGCCCACCCCCGGCCCCAGGGCCCAGCCGGCGCTCCAGCCAGGGCTTGTGGGAAGCGCTCTGCACCAAGCGGACTCCGCAGACGGCGGAGAGATGATTTTAACACCGCAGCAGTCAGGGGAGCTGAGAGACGCTTGAGGGCCTGTTCCTGAGTCATCGCTACGCGCAGCCGGTGCCAGAGCGCAGAGCGGGGGGAAGGGAAGGGAAGGGAACGGTCCGGCGCTGGGCTGACCGTGCTCCCAGCTGCCCTCTCCCCGGTGCTCTGAATTGGGCCGGGCTGGGCACAGGCCTCCCGTAAGCTGCTCCCTTCGCTGAGGGGAACAGGCCTGCTGCAGGCCCTGGGGAGGGAGATGGGGAGCCCGAGAAGGGGCTGCGGCAGAGGGGAGGTCTGACCCGCAGGGCCACACTGCCAGCCTCTGCCACTCCAGCTGGGCTCCTGTCATCGACCACTGGCCCTGCCAGCCAGCTCGGGTGCTGCCCCTCAACCTGAACCCGCTCCCCCTCCCCACCTGGCTCTCCCCGGGGGCAGAAGGGGGCTGGCTTAGGCCAGACTCCTTCCCTGCAACCAGGAGCGGTCCGAGGCCGGCTGCGACAGCTGGCGCCTCAGGTGGAAGGCACGATCGGCACCCCCGCCTGCACAGCCATGACGTCATCGGGCACCCGGGCCGGCGGCACCCTAGACAACTGCCTAGTTTGCCTGGGCTCACGGTCCACCCCTGACTGCATCACAATCTCTGACTTCAACCTGAGCCCGTAGGGGCCGCAGCGCAGCCTTGTAACCCCACAGAGCTCCCCGTTCCCTTCCTCCCCCCTCCCCCAGTCGCCCCAGGATCCAGCCCATGCCCCACTTGGTAGAAAGGGTCATTTCTCTTTATTTACAGGAGTGACGTTAAAAAACCCACCACAGCCTGGGCAGGGAGCCGCGAGGGGACTCCCCCCGGCAGGCATGGCAGGTGACGTACCGGG